GTAGTAGTAGAGAGAGAGAGAGAGAGAGAGAGAGAGAGAGAGAGAGAGTCAAAATTCTCCAAAAACTCCCTCAAGCACCTTCTTGCTGAATCACTTTCTTAACTTAGTTTTACCCTTCAATATAGTTTCCTTTACCACCCAAACTTATGTGAAAACAAAACCAAGATACAAACCCATTGTCACCACCCAAACTTACGACAAAACAAAACACAACCAAGATATAGACCCATTCTCACCATCAAAACATAGATACAAAGAGCCATATGTTGTACTTGACACCAAAGGCATCAGAAGTTTCTTACAAATGGGTTGAATCCCAAAGAAACCATCAACCAAGATTACAAGAGAAGACAGTTTTCCATAAAATATAATGCACTATATACATGGATAACAAATTTAAACATATTGATGTCTGATTCCGTGTATCACCTTGAGCCAGACTATCTTTCCCATGCTTGTAAGTTGTAACATAATTATTATACTCAGGAAGCTTATAATCATTAGAAAAAAGAAAGAAACAAAAATTATTACCACGTGAAGGAATGGGTTAGTCTCTAAACTGTAGAATTAACTTAAAATCCAAGTATTGTTTAGTCTTTAGACTACACTCATCTCGCTTTCTCCATTACTTTTTGGCTTCGAAAGCACAGAAATTTGCCTCAAGGTTTGCTTTCCTGTAGACTCTGGAGCTTTCTTCAAGTTTAGAGAAGTGTAGACACTCATTCCACAGAGAGCCACCACCACACCACAAAGACTCAAGGCACCCGGATCTGAATGGAAGAGAAGAGAACCTCCAAGAAGAATCACACATGTTTTGAACTGCCCCAACACAACATGAGCAGTTGCAGATGTTGCACTGAAACAATAGAGAGAAATATGAGAATAAGTCAATGAAAAGGAGAGTGATAACAAAAACCCGAAGATATGAAGTGGGTTTTGGAGTCTTGCTCTCTCTTCACACACGCACAAAAATAGAGAGAAATATCGGACTAGATCAATGAAAAGGAGAGAAATAACGAAAACCCAAAGATTTGAAATGGCTTTTGGACTCTCTCTCTCTCTCTCTCTCTCTCTCTCTCTCTCACACACACACATACACACACATACAAGTGGATGCATTGAAACGTAAAAATATGGCACAATATTTGGAAGATTTGATGGGAAGTGTAGTGACTGAATGCTGAACCAAGGAGCTACATATTGGCTTGAATCCCGTTTAGAGAGTGTAAATATAAATTTATTGGTTCCAACTTTGAATCCATGAGTGATTTATTGTCAATTCCAAAATTATGGCACAACTAACTTGATCATTGGTGATCATAACAACTAATGAAAACGCTCAAAACAATAAGAAAATGTTGAATCTTAGGTGTTTCATGGAATTTGGGAAAACAAAAGACTCACCCAAGAGCCAAAGCACCAGACCACTGGAGAAGAAACCCAAGAAGGGCCGATACAAAGATGGCCAGCGTGTTATTGAAGTTCCAATTGAAAGATAAGGCACCAGGGGGGTCTAGCCATGGTATCAAGATCAACAAGAACAACAAGGTTATTGGTGTCGTCTTCCACATCAACCTGCACAAGTATTGTCCATTGGCGAGATACTTTGTGAATGAGAATGGCCACAAAAGCTCATGGATAATATACCAATTGAAAATCTGAGTTTCAAATGCTCATGGATAACATCACTATTAAAATGTCATTACTTTCAAAAGCTCGCGGATAATATCACTACTGAAATTTTACGCTTTCCATGTAAAGCCCTGGTGGATACCAAATTATTGTTATGCTTTTTTGGATAAGTGGTGGACACTGAATTATTGTTAATGGCTGAGATAGTAACATCCATTGTCCAAAATTATCTGAAATATAGAATAACAATTTGCTGCCATTATGAATCCATGGCAAAATCCAAAATATCAATCCTTACCACTCACTATTGTTCCTGGTCTAGTAATCATAGAAAAACAAACAAATAATGATGCATCTCAAGAAAACAACAAAACAAATAATGATGCATCTCAGAGAAATTAATCTTACGCGAGAGCTGTCCAGTTGTCCTGTTGTTGCAATTTGGACCAAAGAATTTTATTTACAGCACTAGGGATTATCCATGCTATTGCTACACAAGCACCAAAGAAGTTGAATTGCAAATCTGTAACAGTTGCAACTGCTACACCTATTGATACCATAGTCAGTGCCAACACCTGCACAAGAACACCGCCCCTCGTTGAAAATTCATCACATTTCAAGAAATAAAATACATGCCATTCATGTATACATGTCTTTTTCTTTTTCCACAATTAACCAAACAAATAGATGCCGATATATATATTTTAGGGAGTAACGATGTCCAATGGGTCATCACTTTCCAATGAATTGATAGGGTGATGGAGAGAGAGAACGGGACCCGCCATTAAAGGACATGGCCTCAATGGTGGGGCCAAAAATATCTCCACCGCCATCAGTTTCAGTGGAAGTGATGAACCAAAGTACACATGTTTTTATATCACATAAACAACACGGAAAGCCGCCATAAAAGATTGAGTTCAGGTCCAATGTGATATGTTCATAGATTGATGAATAAAATGCTTCTTGCAATTCATATCAGAGTATATCTCTAGTGAAATGGTTGGCGTTACCTAGTGCAATGGTTTACAAATTTATGGAATGCTCAACATTTTTTAATAAGAAATTTACCAGATTCACTGATGTTCTAAATAATCGTCTACTATAACGACACTATATTTTTTTACTAAACATTTTCAGCACCATATTGTTGTATTTGTCTGAAATCCTGGACAGGAAGTTGGTAGCATAGTTTTTCCAGTGTCCATAAAAAAAGATAAACTATTATCATGGTTGACTCTTTACACCAGTCTAAAATCTTGTATTTTCCAGCGCCACTTAATTCTAGTCACCACCTTACATAGCTCTTAACGACAATTTTAGAAATATAAATTGATCAAAATATTATAGTGAAGCAATTAACATCCAAAAACATAAACTAGTCACAACATAGATCCATTTTCTTATGGTCTAGGACATACAAAGCTATACCCACGTCAATCTAGCATCATAGTATCATAAGTCATGGAAATTACTCGCTATTTATAGGAACCTTATAGTGGGGTTGCTATTCAATTCCTGCTCCAAAAAGGCAAAAACTCTCATCACCTTCTAGATAATTATTAATGAAAATTCATTGTCCCCAAGTGGTCCCTTGGTTCTTTTTCCCCAAGATTATTCCAACTATTTGAGAAGATAAGCATCTTGTTACTATTAAAAAGGCATTATGAATCTAATCCCATGAGATGGGAAATCTAGTGAAAGAAAGTAGGTACTAGGTAATTTATCACATATTGCAGTTAATATACATGGGAGAAATTTAAGTTTAGTCCAGTGATTCAAAAAGTGGACCGCCTAGAGCCTAGGCGGCCGCCTAGGTGGTCCAGAAGGCTTAGGCGCATTGCCCAGGCCTAGGCGGCCAATCTGGGCGGCAGTCCCTGGGCGGTTGCCTAGGCGGTACGGAACCTGTCTAGGCAAGCGCCCAGCCCAGGGCGGCCTCCCCGCCCAGAGGCGGAAATTATTTTTTTTTAAAGTTGACAAAAATTGATCAAAACATCACCCATTGATATTAGATTTAATTTTAGATGTTTTATAAATCTATTGGGGCGTTTTTTATAAGATTTTGACTCCTTAGAAGCATCTTTGACTGGACATCCTTTTTGGATTCGACTGGGCCGCCCAGGTTCGGGGCATCCGCCTAGGCACTGGGCGGCTTGGACCCACTATGGTTTAGCCTTAATTAATAAGAATTTATTTTCTCATTCATCTAAAGAATCTTGTAATATGTAGCATACATGGGAAGTTTAGTCCTGAACTGGAAAGAGTATGACATGACATTTTTAATGGCTCTAGTTCCATTTAAGCTTAAGGACAAGATTGACAAACTGATTGTCATTGGTTAAAAGATGTGAGAACTATATTTTACGACAAGAATTTCCACCCAAGTAATCTGTATAGTATATGCATAAGCTATCCATAAATTGAGTAATATGCTGATAAAAATAAAGACATCATACCCCAGAAGATTCTCTAAACAATGCCCACAATATCCTAGCTTTTTGAAAGGAAAAGTTTATATATGGTTGAGCACCTAAACAATCAAACTGTAGTGGACCTGAAAATTTCACTATAAGAAGTTGTTTCGATGCCAAAAAAACCTCAAATCCGATCGTCTCGACCTTGAGGTATATGGACATGAAAAAATAATGGACTTCCAAGTCTTGGAAATAGTGCATCTTGTAATGCATTATATAGACTGTTAATTTTCAAGATTTTCAAGTGTTCATAGATCTGCTTGATCTACAATATTTTTGAAGCTTTAATTTTATAATTAGAGATGAAAATAAATTTTCAGGTCATCATAAAGATTTTAGGTACTGAAACGACATCTTTTGACACTATTTGAAGGTGTGCCTTACTTTGATTGTTTAGAGCCTCAGCCTTATACAAAGGCACCCTTTTTGAAATGATAGACGTGACATATAGTTTATAGAAAAACCTCAGACTTGCCATTGTTTTCTATTACTTGATCAACCAAGATGTATGACAATGCAGATGGAGTGTTCTCTTAATGCATCAAATCAGAAGGAGCAACATACATAAGTTTCATTTCTGAACTGCGAGTCTGTGAGATAAATCAGGAATTAATGTTCAGATTTATGACTCTAAAAATGCAGTGTTACAATCAGCTTCTTAATAATTCAACAACTTCTAATTTATTCTTTGGCAAGCTTTTTGGAGAAGCCACACTAAAACATCAGAGTTACATCAGTGATGGAATTGTTCACCAAATATCACTTTCAAGACAATAAAAGCAGCCAAATCTCAAAGTGATTACCTTGTGGAAAGAAACACTTTTCCTGAAGAACAGGAATTCGGCTAGTACAATGGTGGGGGTCACAGCAATCTTGGCCATCTGATAGAAACCAACACTACAAGGAAAGGTGACAAGTCAATGTCAGGAATAAATGAAGAGAAAATATACTGGAAACCAATCAACTATAGATACTCATAGCCAGTTGGGGTTATCACAAACCATTGAAATGGGGACAGAGACAACTGTGGCATTACGCTGGGTCATGATCTTTCTCCATCAACATAATAACCCAAATGAAATAGATTCCCCACTTTACATTTGATTAGTGAAATATTTTTAATGGTTTAATGACATTGTGTGACAAAGACTCTGCACGCGTGTGTGTGTGTGTGTATGAGATAGAGGGAGGAAAGAACAACAAGCTAAACTTAAATACATAGCCAACAACAAATGAATAATGTGGGATGAAGACATTAAATACACAATGGTAGAGCAAACCTCACCTATTGTGCTTTAAGCTGATATTAGCAAGGCTAGTGGAGAAACTCATAACGATACCCAGGGAAAGCAAAGAAGAAAAGGATGCTGATTTAGAAGGAGAGGAAGGAAGAAGCGAGAAGGTGTTGAACAGGGCCATTAAAAACCAGCTCACAACATAATGGATGAATGTAAGAAAGATGGGGAAATTAAATCCAACCTTGCTCAGCACCTGTAGACAAAAGAAGAACCAAATGTCAACTCATGATACAGTTTAGTTATTCATTTATTTATTTATTGGATAACCCACCATATATCTTTGATAGTGAGAATAACCTATCAAATACTCCTCCAAAAATTCTACTGCTTACTATTTTCTTTTTTTTGATTAAAAAGTTTCATTAATTCAACCAGTTTCTCTGAAAAGCAAAATTTTCATTTTCCTTATGGCTATCAACGCATCAGGTACCATTTTTGGAAACAAGATCAGATAAAGAACCAAGCTTGGAAACAACTTGATAATCAAATGCATAACCCCAGCTCCTTTTGGGTGCCAGCTATCAGACTGCTGTCTGTAAAGGACATACAAAATGACTTTAATTTCTATGCAAAGGATGGTCATTCTATGCAACTAGGTAATATGGACTCTTCAAAACTTTTTTTTTTTTTGAGAGCGAGACTTACCAAAGGAGCCCATCCATGTGTAACCATAGGAGATTCAAATCAAAAGAAAGCAAAACATAAAAAAATAATTAACCCACCAATTTGTTAACCATGATAATGCCAACTGAAACCACAAAGTTGAACGTCATGGCTACGGATGGACCACAAAACCTTTGTTGCTGACGCTTAGCGCCTTCCGAAGTGCGAAGCTCGTTGAACAAAGAACCCCGTAGCTCCTCTAGTGCTCGTTCTTTTACAAATACATATATAACGTCAATGTGAATCCCAGGTATAACTACCTAGAAACTTCAACCCAAATTATGAAGCAAC